TTACTAGTGACAAATTGGTGCATAGGAGATAAAAATCAGGGCTATTCTAGCATGATTGTAGAGGTGGATAAAAAAGTTGAATTTAATTATTAACTACAGCTTAGATATTTAATTAGGATATTTTCTTTTTTTACTGGCATCAACTTGCAAAAAAAACTAGTGCCGAAATACATGAAAATTACAATAAAATATTATGCAAGTGAAGTGTTTATACATACTTTTCTTTTGCAATATTTTCATTTGTACACTTTGTTTCAACATTAGAATTTAACTACTTGATTTTTAATACATTTCAGTCAGTCAATAAATACAGTATATAAGCATATTAAAATGGAGGGGTTTATAGACAGAATTTTCCTATTAAGAATTGTCAACAAAATCCTTGAAAATGAAATGAGCTGACAACTATAATCGGAGCAGACGCGAAAAGTACCGTTATAGCACATTGCACCATCAATTATGTCAAGCATGCTGCCAAATAGTAAGTGTTCTGACCTTTGTTATTAATAATAGAGGCAGACACTGGGGACATGTGAAAGACAAATAACGTAATGCATGGAAAATCTATTATAGATTCGATTTTGTTAATGGATATAGAGCCTATCTGGTATCCTGCCCCTCCTCTTGTAAGCTATAATTTTCTGAAAACCTGGACATACCTATGTAGTGGAAAGCCACATTGTGAAAAACATACTTTGATAGAATAAAATGTTCCTAAGTTAAATAAATAATAGTGAGAGACAAAGCTTGTCATCAAGTTTCACTACTTTATTTATATGTGTATGTGTCATTTCCCCTGTTCCTCAGGAAATAATGTGGAAGAAGTGAAATGAAACAAGCTTGTCTTTACTGCAGTCACCATTCATTCTTGCATTTTTAAGGTGTTATTTTGCTCAATATCATCTCTCATCTTGTAGAAATTGGCTAGTCAAAGGTTTAGTCAACATCTTTCTCCAGACTATAGCTTCCAGTATTTTTCGTTGATCGTACAGGACAACATTGATAATATGTAAAAATGCAAAAACAGTAGAATGGCCAACTAAAGGACAGCAATAAACACTTATGAAGGAAGTAGTGGTATGTTAAAAAAAAAAAAAAAAAAAAAAAAAAAAGGGTACAAAACCCAATCTTTTACCTGACTTAAAAGAGAAAAGAAAATAGAAAATGTGGGACAGAGAAAACTCCTTCCTCTGCAGGCACTGATGGCACTGAGTTCTTGCTTCCTACTCAGTGTAGAACATAGATCCCAGAGTGTCTTGCCAGTAAAACGTTAAGGAGTTGATCCAAGATTTCATGTGGAGTGCACTGCAACTGGTTCATATGAAAATCAATGGATGGTTTACAGTTATCAAAAAGCTTACTTTTGTCCTAAAAGTTGCAGAATTGCTCCTATCAAAACATTTGTTAATGTTATATTACTTTTAGACAATAAAACAATTATTTAGTATCTTTTTTTTAAAATTTAAGACTACATTTGGGAATATCTAGCTTGGTGACAGTAATTGCATCTACAAACAGTATTTCTTTCCAAACTTCACTAATCTGGGCTTGCATAAGATTAATGAAAAATTAGAGCTCCTCTGATTTGTAGTACATTTTTGTTGATGTTACTTTCTTTGTGTCTTGTCATAAATTCTAAATATGTGTTGAAGTCTGGATTTCCATTGCAAAAACCATTTTGAGGTTTTAATTTTTTTTTTTAGTGTCCTACACTAAAAGCCAGTGCACAATTAAGAAAGAGCAAAGAATTTGGAATAAAAGGTGGAGACTGAGACAGTATATTTTTGTGAAATTAACCAAAAATTGGACAAAATCAAAAATGTTGCCTGACAGCTATGATATTTACAGAAGCAGTTGCATTCCTCTCTTAAAAATTTAGAAATTCTTTTTAACAATCCTTAAAGGTCTGATGCTTTTACTGTATTCAGGACACACTCTTCTAATCAACCAGAACTTAAGATTTAGTTTGATGTTCATGTCAACAATAAAGTTTGACTGTTGTACAAAATTAAATCCACAGATGAATTTGCTGCAGTTCAAAAATATTTGCCTTTCATAGACTTACAGTAAATATACTAGGAAGCGATCATTGATCTGTGTGTCAAGGTAATATTGGAAACATATTGAAAAATCAACATATATTTTCTTTTTTTTTCCTGACTGGGCACTGCACGTACCGTATTTGGTATACATGTATGGATTTCCTTCTCCCTTTCTTGCTAAATCGGAAGAGAGGAGAGAATAAAAGCCCTCTAGTGATCCAACCTGGTTTTCCACAGTGTGTTTGTAAGTTTGAGTTGAAGCCATCTTTAAAAGCAAATGGCTTTATTAAACTAAGCACAAAATAATTCAGGTGCAATAATGATGATTCATTTTTTAAAAAAAGTAATTTTATATATCTGCTTCAGAAATTGTTTTCCTTTTGTTCATGCTAAGTGAGTACTTCATGTTGTAGGCAATATTCTCTGTCCTTCCCATGGTGCTCTGGCTCATGGAATATCCAGGAAGATATGCATTTGAAAACAACGATTTATTAAATTAGGTACAATACTTTATTAAAGCCACTAATTTCTTCATGTTTTGACTTTTATTCATACATATTTTATACATGTATACCAAATTTTCTGTCCAGCTGGAAAGACATGACTTGATTTTCTGACCAAAGAAGCTTTCATCAACACAGTTTATTTCTAACAAATAAACGTCTTTCCTGCTCCGTACGCTGGCTTCTTATCAACTAAGTAATTTTGAGTTTCAGTACTTATTTTTCTGATGATCTAGGCCTGTACCTTGAATATCTGAAATAACAGTAGCCAGCATTTTGTCTACAGTGGACTGCACAGGCTTCTAAGGGATTCATCAAAGGTTTGTGAACCTTTGGTTGGATTCTCTTTCCACGTCACCCCCATGATCTGCTGGTATCTCCTAAGATCAGCTACTAGATGACTAAACACAGTTTCCATTCCTATGCCTTTTACATAGTGGACTGGCATCCAGCCTTGTGACAAGGATACACATGCGGCCTCCATGCCGTGACCTCCCGTGCCATCCATATTCCCATCAGGTGGTAGACACGCATCTGCACGGCTGCCATTTACTGTGCTGGTGCAGCGACCTGCATCCCGTTACTCAAGCGCTACAGCGCTCTCGGGAAACAGCCTGGCAAGAATGAGGCTACTCAAGCCCTGCTTTTATCAGCTTTTGAGAGAGATGAAAGCAAGCAGACAGTGGCCGAATTAATTGTTGGTTCAGGTTGGATTTTTATCTGTGACCCACTGATTGAGAACCTGCGTGGCATCCTGCAAGGAGAACAGGGGAGCCGAGATGCTCTGTGTTGTCAATGAATTTGAAGGCAAAGCCCCAAGGTACTGCTTGCTGGGTGGCTTGGGTCAGAGATGACCCTTCCTATGGAAGTCGGAAAGAGATGAAGTCCGGAATGAGCGCATTTCTGAGACTGGTAGCTTGATTGTTCGAATCTCCCAGGACAAAGTAGTCTGTCTGATACTGTGGTTAGCAAGGTGTCAGTGAAAACTTTTTTTTTTTTCTTTTTTTTTCTTCATAACATTTTGATGTACAAAATGACTTTGAAATCTGCATTAGCTTTGGCTTCTGTAGTTGCAGAAATGAGTTCTGTGAACCTGCCTTACTGGGGTGTTTCTCCTGAATGTGGTGCTGATAAGGCAGTGGATGCGAGAGTGCATGCCATTTTGTACCTTTTTAGATGCTTGTGAGACAAGGAGCAGTTTTGGTTCAGGTCAGCTAGTTCAGAACCGGTTGTTTTACTCACGTAGTGTTCAAAATGACTTAATTGAAAGCATTTCTTTTTTGTTATAGCGGAGTTTGATAAGGAGCCTTAAGTTTCAATTTCTATAGTTTCATATTTCTGGTTTTAGACACATGTTTTACACTGTTACAGCCTTGTTATTTCTTGGACCAGGGCAAAAGGTTTGTAGTAACCTGTACAGAGTCTGCAGCCAGTTGCTAGACACTTTTTACAAAGTGTACCTGTATATTTTGTGTCTCATACTGCCATCTAAGGGCCACGTAGGCAGAGAAGGTGGCTAAAGGTTCTTCAGGGCTTTTCTCCTTACTGCCCTTGCCTTTGGGAAGTCAGCAATTCATGGATGAGAGGGGGTGGGCAGGGAATAACAGCCGTCCTTTGATGCAATATGTTGACTCATCTAAGAGGACAGAGGAATCTTCCAGATATGTGAGAAATTAGAATGTAAATCGGAGTCATAGTCTTTTCGGAAAATGCAATTGCAATGAGTTGTGTAAAAGCCAGCAAAGAAAGCGCAATTACAGGATTTGAGGCTGCTCTTGAAACAAGGAGTTAAGGAGTGTAGTGCTTAGAGTCCTGAAGAGTTTCAGCTGAAACTCTTAGCAGTGAGGGAGTGTGCAGTTCAGAGTCTTAAAGGTACCGGTGTCCTTGACTCCTACTGATTTAAGGATTAGTGCTTTACAATAGAATTTGCTTATTAAGATTTTCCCTAAAAAGGTACAAAATCACATGAATTATTTTCTTCTTTTTTTCTAATTTTTTCATTTCTGTGTGTTTTCATTTTCCAGGACTAAGGGAAAATGGGCAAAAATGTGGTGTTACTTTAAGCATATGTGATCTTAAATAACATGAATGTAATTTAGATATTTTGGGGCTTAAGCATTCAAAATGTTATCATGAAAACTTTGCTTTCCAGGATAAAAATGCAAATTTTTTTTTTTAAATCTGCAAACTGTACTTGTATAGGCTTAATTCTATAGCTCCTTTCTCACACAGATGTTTTGAATGACAAGCACGATAAAGAATTAGTGGCACAAGCAAAGCATTTCCGTATTTGTCAATATAGTACTGTTGGCATTGACTGACAAAAGCAGTTTCTGTAATGAGGACCCCTTTGAGCACAACTTTATTTTACAACGTATGAGTTGTTTTTCAGGCTAGCTTCCCGCAAACCTTGTGTAATAGAGAATGTAATTATTCTTGTGTGTTACTTTGACAGGCTCATGCAAGCAAAGACCTGGAAGAGCAGTTGCGGTCTGTGTCCAGTGTGGATGAACTCATGACAGTACTTTACCCAGAATACTGGAAAATGTTCAAATGTCAGTTGAGGAAAGGAGGTTGGCAACACAACAGGGAACACTCCAGCTTTGAAACAAGATCAGATGATTCACTGAAATTTGCCGCAGCACACTATAATGCAGAGATCCTGAAAAGTAAGTACAGGACACAAAACATGTTCTAACACACAATAAATTAAAAGTTGAAGGCTTGTCAGTTGCGTGAAAAATATTTTAAAAGCTAAGCATCATCGGTAAACCACCCTCAGCAGGTTGATTTGATGTAATGGCTATAAAATAAAATCTTTGACAGTCAACCTTCCATAATGAAATAAATTGCTCCACAGACATATTTTTGGTACATCCATTGTAAGAAAGGTACAGACTGCTTTCTCAGCTCAGTAGGTATAGGAAGTTAAGCGTTCGTCTTCAGGTATAAGGAATACTGCTTTGTGGAGGCTGTAACAATTTTGCGGAAAGCAAAGAGGGCACTAATAGTTGGATTCATTGAACTGTTTCTGCTCATTTTCTGCAATTACGTCATGGCTGGTAATGCTTTTTTCTCTTACGTGTTACTGCTTTAGGAGGCCAAATAATCCACTTGTAGCTTTTTTCCTGTTACTAGAGGGCAGTTGTCATGATGTTATGCTCAAACCAGAAAAAAACAGCTTTCGAACAAATATGTCAATATCCCTTAGTGTTTCAGATGGCCTGGATAAAAATATAATTAGCTTACAGTTTAAGCAAGTGCTTGCAGGCAGAGAAACACAGGATTTATAACAGGAGGTGTATTTCTTGACATGATACTGGAAATCATGTACCTTAATGGAGGCTTTAGGGTACACATTAGGTGAAATTTCCATTTTTGCTGAATAGCCTACCAAAAACTGGCTGCAAGAGAGAATAAAGGGGCCTGTATTGCCGCAAGTCTCATGGCTGTTTAGCGTAAGATTATATTTGGCAAAAGGCTGTATAACACAATATAAAATGTTTGCCCAAATTTGCATGGATAATATGGGCACAAATATCACCTTTCAGATTAAATCATATAGTGTATATAATTGCTAAATAATAACCCTTTGCTTTAAATTATACTCTGGTAGTTAACAAAGTAAACGTATTCAAATTAATTTCACATTAAGTGTGTAGGCATCAAATTTAATGTTTTTAATGTATAATATCCAAGTGAAGTACTGTGTGGGACCAGTTAAAGTTAATTTGCAGAGATGTGCAGTACTTCTTTACACTTTACTCAAGGTGAGACTCACCCCAGGCATAGGAGAAAAGGACATGTACAGCTTTAGCTGTGAATGCTGTAAGATCTACCCTACCTTGTTAGGTTCCCTCTTAGCTCTGCTGTGACTTTTCTTCTGCTCCATGGCAATATCTCATCCCTATGAAGAAGAAAAATTAGGTAGAAGTTAACACAGAGAGGTGTGTATTTCACTGAATAAAAGGTGTGACTCCAGCAATGCATATTCTGGTTCTAAACTTTAAAAAAAATCCTACTAATTTACTGCAGGAGAGTATTGTTTTTAAACAGTTACTTTATAACGCATGAAATTCCCTATAACTTGGCAGGTATTGATACTGAATGGAGAAAAACTCAGTGCATGCCACGTGAAGTGTGTGTGGATGTGGGAAAAGAGTTTGGAGCAACTACAAACACCTTCTTTAAACCCCCATGTGTATCCATCTACAGATGTGGAGGTTGCTGCAATAGTGAAGGACTCCAGTGTATGAATATCAGCACAAATTACATCAGCAAGACAGTAAGTTCTCGCTTTTCTTATAGTCCAAGTGCTCCTTGCAAATCCATTTATGATCATGCATATTTTAAACCTTCTTATTGCTACTATGAGGAAGGGAAAAAATCAATTCCAGAATATATAGGAAAAACAGCTGAAGAGACCACTGCCTGGAAGAAAATGTTTAACACTCTTTTCCCCTAAATATATTTTTTTCGGGGGCAGGAGGGAAATAAATTATGATGTTCCATTCTCAGTTTTGAGATAATCTGTGAAACTTAATTCTGTCCTTTTTTTTTTTGCTTCTACCATTTGCCTGCTGTATGAGGCAAGCACTCTCTGGAAACCTAATCTGTAATTTTATTTGTGGAAACTGTTTTAGGACATGTGCAGACAGGATATATGTTGTAAGTAAAGCCTTTTAGGAAGTGAACTTTATTGTTTTAAGAGATATTAGTGTAATGTACCTATTCGTTTTGTTTTAAGGCATCTTCCTCAGGTGTATGTGCGGTTTTTATTCTTCAAATTCAGGGCTAGTAATCAGGTAGGAGTATGCAGAGATTATGCATTGAGCCTGTGAGCTGCCTTTAAAGGAAAAGCATACATGCATTATTCTATTTTAAGTAGCTATAACAATTATCACATCATCTTACAACAACATTTCCCTCAAAAATCATGCAAAAATAGTCGTGCTTCAAAATGTTTGCTAGGGTATTTTGCTTTTGTTACAGTATTTGGTAGGTTTTTTGTTGGTTGTGGGCTTTTTCACTTTTTACCTCATCTTTCTGATACTTTGAAGAAAACCAATTTTAGTGTAAATCTTGCTTCCGTTTTCAACTAGGTTCATCTAGCTGAAGATGCAGTACATATTTATAAGGAAGATACACAACTGCAAAGCCAACTATAAAATCGTAGCCCATGGAAATGTTGTTCCTGTATTATGAAACTTCTTAGTGCTCTGAGCCTTCTTGAGAGGGGACTAGGAAAAAGGGGTGTAAAGAAAAGAGGAAAAAAACCTCTTTTTTTTTTTAAAATACGTTTTCTTTCCTCATTTCTCACCAAAGCTGTCCATCTGAAATGGTATATTCCACCAAGAATTTTCAATCCTAAGTGTGAGCCGAGTGGTAGACAGCCACAAAGCACAGGAATAATGTAACTCAAATAGCTTAAACGAGGAAAACTACAACACTGATTTTGTTCAAGCCTGTAGTTATTCCCACAAACAGCTGTCCTAATTCCAGTTGCTTGAAAGATGTAAATATAATTTTAACGTTATAAGCCAAGAAATATGACCTTTTTTTTTTTTTTTGTATTTATAAAGTTTAGCTTGCTTGAATAAAGGATGATCTAGTTACAGAGTTACTGCATTTAGTACAGATTTTCTGGTCTTTGAGCACCATGTCAGTTTGGGGTAAATAATCCCTTTCTATTCATCTTTCTGTTCATATCTATTGAGTGAAGTAATTTTTTTTTGCCTAGTAGAAAATGTTTAGACTAGTATTAAGTTTCTTTTTTAAGTTCTTGATGTCATTGGTGATGATATGATATAGGAGTAAAGATTTGAGAGACTCTAAAAAGGAAAATGTTAAAGGACTTACCAGAAAGAAGAAAGAGGCAATAGCATTGTTTTGTTTTCTTACCTATTCTGTAAAAGCAAGCAATTTAATCTCTGAGTTTTCTGTCTTGCTTCTGCTTTCCAGTTTTATCTGGTCCTTGACAGAATGCAGTTTTAAAAAAAAAACTCTTAAAAAGGAAGAGAGCTATAGCTATATCTCTTCATCTGTCATCATGTCAAATCTTTTTAAAGTTATGTGACCACAGCTTACCCTATATCAGATGAGAATTAGGAAGAAAAAAGTATTGGATTCAAGACCCTTCTGTGGAATTCAGGTACCCTACACACCTATTTTCACTACTGTTTTCCTTTTATTTCCTGAATGAAATGAGAACAAATGGTTAGTAACCAGGCATCTTTTCTTTTTTCATGTCACCATTTTTGTAGCTTTACTTTTTGTGCATAAACTCTGTAAGATAAGCCTCATACTGTTCACCCTGCAGAAAAAGTTCTTAATGGGAAATTAAGTTTTCAGCTGGAGGTCTTACTGTGAGGGCAAGCTCTAGCATTGGTTCCAGACGTTAAAATCTAAAGAAAGTTGATATCAGCTTTCATCAAAATTAATTAAAAAGAAAAGAGCTAAACATAGAAATTATTTTTATGGGGAGCAAATCATTGATTGCCAGGAGAATGGATGAGGTCAGATGTTCCTAGATTGGCTTGTGGAACACTGTGGTGGTCCAGAGAGAGGTCAATAGTTCTCTACTTCAGACTGCGTTCCTCCTTTCTAGCTACTTAACTTTATTGAGAGAAAAACAGAAAAGTATTCTGCTTTGCTTTTAATGCCATTTTTTCCACAAAAACTGTTTTTGTGGTTGCTAAGGGGTGTTTATATAATCATGATGGGGATGAGACAATTTCTTAAGGTGTGGTACAAGGTCTGTGAAAACATTTGAGGACCCCCTAGGCTAATTCATAAAATGCAGTAGATCTTTTTCTTCTCCTTCATCCGTGACACTGCAGTAGCCCAACTGTGTAGGTGAGGGCTTGTCTAATAAAGGTCTATGCGGAAGGTGGTTGATTGGTCTTTGGTTTTGTGGTGTGGTTGTGCTGTTTTTTTCTCTAATTTGTTATTAATCAAATAGGTGTTCTCTATTTCCATGGCACGAGTAATTCAACAGCAGTTAAAAGGATTGGAACTACCTGGTGCAGCAACAGCCTGTCCATCAGCTGTACTTTTTCATGCCCCACCTGTAGGTACTTGCTTATAGATGAAGGAAAGCAGTGAGCAGATGTCAAAGAGCCATCTCATTCCATTCGTCCTCTTGGCTGGCAGGATGGACAGTTTTTGTCTTCTTTCAGATCATTTGATGTAAAGGTCCTAAATCTTCTTGTTTCATGGTTACAGTAATAGTCCTTCAAGGGAAAACATCTTTCTAAGCAATTTGAAATTAGATTTAGAGGAGCTTTTCTCACGGGAAACAAGCTAACAGCTTGAAATTGTTTGCCATATTTGAGATGTACATGATGTTCCTTTACACAATTTGGAGATGCATATGTCACAAGAATTTTCCGTCATTTTGAACTTTACCATTTATGCCTTTTCCCATGCATTTTTCTATGTTAGGCTGATGATTGTAATGATATAGTAGGCACTATTAATAGTGGAAGATATATCGCTATAAATTCCAAGTGTTTTTTGTCAAAATTTCCAGGAAAAAAGTGATTAAAATATAAGAAGACAGAATCAGGAACACAAGCGTAGTAAACAGATATGAAGTATATTACATTAGATAAGTTACCTGTTGTTGCATCATGCGTAAGCCTTGAAATACTGTTTTTTCAAAAAAGTGAGATAGTAAAATAAATAATGATAATGTACCATTTTTCAAATAGCTTATTTACATTCTTTCCAGTATAGAGATGTTTAGAGTTTTGAAATCAGTCAGTCTTATATCCTTAGCTTGAAAATCTCTCTAGACACTTTGTGCTCTGTTACACTGGTTATATTTGGCTAGCCTTACTGACACTTTAGGAAGTGCAAAGATCTCAAGTGATGGAAACTGAAAGTCAATCAATTTAAGGGAAACTTGCCAAAATAAACTATAGTCCATCAGAAGAACATAGTGTAGTTATTGTAAATCTGGGAAAAAAAGCATATGTAAATCCTATATTTGAAAAGTATCTAGAATGATAAGGTTCCCTCATCCTGATATGAAAATAAGAGTTTTGATTATTTTATATTTCAGAAGTCAGTGATCATCATAATTTAATGTGTGCTGATACAATGGATATTGGCACATATGATGATAGTGCTGAATAAATTAATTTAGCCACTGAAGCAAAGAAATACTTTGTATAGAAATCAACGTTTTTTCTGGACAGTGTGGCATGAAGTCCTTCTAACCTAAAGAAGGAGCTATCAATGCAGTGAATCAAAAATACATGCCTTCCTAAGGATCAGTGAGAAGGAATATATGGGAATATTTTTTTTTTTCCCCAGGAATTCTGATAGAACTTTTGGTCAAGCATTCAGAGATTCCTGTCTGCTGCTAGGTTATTTTCTTTTAAAGGTTAAAATCATGCTGAGCTCTAGGTTGTGGACCAGACTCTGGCCCCACCCTCGTTTCTCTTCTCCACTCCAGCTCTATAAATGGCTAAAGGAAGAGCACTGGCAGTGTGGGAACTGAAAAGAGCCTACTACAGGGTGGTCTATGGGACCACGCAGCTCTGGCCTGGAAGCTCTTGCAAGGGTGGCTGAAGATATAACAAGATTGGGAAGAAGGCGGACTGTTGCACTTGGCATCACAGTGACTGCAGATTGTGGAGTGCCAAAGGCCAAGTCTGGTTGGGTAGAGCAATTCAGAGACACCTTTGCTCAGTGTCCCCTTGCTGTGCTTCTCACCCGAGAAGTACAGTACAGAGCATATGCACTGATCTTCAAGGATTTAAAAAATTGAAGTGTAAAAGAATGAAAATCCGGGAAAAAAAATGGTTTGTAGTTGCACACATGATTATAAAAGTGATCTAATTATTCGCTTAACTTTGTATTAGTCTAAAAAGTTCTTTAATTATATATCTGTCTGTACTGGGAGGCAGAAAATACAAGCATAAGAAGCTGACGTTCAGGTCTGTAGGATATGCTGCCTTTTAATTTTGGCTGGTGTAGTGGAACGAAGGTTAAGTATTAAGCCTAAAATACACCTTATTACAGATTGTGTAATCCAAATGTATGAAGAAAAAAGACCTTCCTTCATTTTTGAAGATGAACGTTTCAACTTTGACTAGGCTGAAAGACAGATATAAAGTCATCTTGATAATAGTGAGTGGGACAGAAAATATCCTTAAAAAATAACAATAAAAAAAAAAGTTCTGCAACCAAAACTTTTTTTAAAAAATCCATGTAGTACCAGTGACTGTCATGGTTTTAGGACAAAATTTCTATTTAAGCCATGTACTGTACAAGACA